TTTTTTGACATTTTCACTTTTATTTTTACATTTCATTGCACAAAAGGTCTATTTCATCCATTTTTTCAATTAAAATTTTTGAAATGACAAATATATTATTCTCTTTAAATAAATAAAATTTTAAAAACTAATTGCAACCATATTCCTAAAGTTTTTTTAAAAAGCGCAAATGAGTCCAAAATAAATTATTAAAATGATATTTAACACATAATATCTCTACATTCACTATTATTGCAAAAAAATTCTCTATATTTCCTTTTTTATATTTTCACCATTAATTACATATTTGATTGCGCAAACCATATTTTCTATCAATATTCATCTAATTTCTCAATAAAGAACTATAAAATGATGAATAAATCATCATATTTAAATAAAAAAAATTAAAGAATTAATTGCAACTATAGTTCCAATTTTTTTTTTTTTTTAAAGTGTATACGAGTCTCAATTTAATTTATTAAAAAAATTTAAAAAATAAAAAGTGCAAAAGAATCTCAAATAAGTTATTAAAAAATTAAAAATTAATTTTCTTTAATTTACTTCTTATTTTAAATAGGATAATATATTTATCATTTCATAGCTTTTTATCGAAGGTGTAACTAAATGTAAAAATTCCAAAAAAAATGAAAAAAAGATAGGGATGTTTCCCGTTATAATGGTGAGAGTTACAAACATTATGTGTTAATTAACCTTTTAATAATTTATTTGAGGGACTCATTTGCGTTTTTTAAAAAAATTGGAACTATGGTTGCAATCATTTTTTTCTTTTATTTAAGAGAATGATATATTCGTCGTTTTACAATTTTTAATTAATAAAATGGTTGAAAAATACTTTTTGTGCAATGAAATGTAGAAATAAGGGTGAAAATACCAAAAAATGAAAGGTAATGATATTTTCTATCAATTTTCATCCAATTTCTCATTAAAGAACTGTAAAATGATGAATAAGTCATCTTATTTAAATAAAAAAAATTAAAGAATTAATTGCAACTATAGTTCCAATTTTTTAAAAAGTGCAAACGAGTCTTAAATAAATTATTAAAAAATTATAAATTAAATTCTTTTTTTTTAAAAAAAAAGTGCAAACGAGTCTCAATTTAATTTATTAAAAAAATAAAAAGTGCAATAAGTTATTAAAAAAATTAAAAAAAATTTAAAAAAAATCTTTAATTTGCTTTTTAAAAAAAAAAAAATAGGATAATATATTTATCATTTCATAGCTCTTTATCGAAAGTGTAACTAAAGGTGAAAATTCCAAAAAATAAAATAAAAGATAGGGACGTTTCCCGCTATAATGGTGAAAGTTATGAACATTATGTGCTAATTATCATTTTAATAATTTATTTGAGGGACTCATTGGCGTTTTAAAAAAAAAAATGGGATTATGGTTGCAATTATTTTTTCTTTTATTTAAAAAGAATGGTATATTCGTCATTTCACGATTTTTAATTGAGAAAATGGTTGAAAATGATCTTTTGTGCAATTAAATGTGGAAATAAGTGTGAAAATATCAAAAATTGAAAGGTAATGATATTTTTCACAATAATAATGAAAGGTGTGGACGTTATATACTAATTACCAAATATATTTTAACCACACGTAAACATGTAATTGAAAGCCAATGATTTCTTTTTTGGTACTTTCGAATATAATTAACTAATATTTTAAGTAACTTTAACTTTGGATTAAATTAACTTTCAGATTTTTTTTTCTTTACTTTAGCCATATTGAACTAGCACGGTAGTAAAAAGTCTAGCATGTTTGAGCCCTTTTTATTCAAAATACATTTTGAAGTTGTATTTTGATTAAGAATATACAGTTAAAAAATAAGAAAAAATTTTGAATTTGCATTTAATATTATTTTATTAAAAAATGTGTGGTTAAAAATAAGAGAAAAATGTATTTTAAAAATAACAAGGATAAAAAAAATTAGATTTTTAACAGATTTTGATAAAAGTTGATGAAAAATATGGTTGAAAAATTATAGATCCCATAAAATATATGATTAAATTTTATTTTTAACTTTAACTTTAACTTCAATTAAAATTTATATTGTAATCACTAGTAAACTGGGCATTAATTTTTTGGGAACAATACATAAATAAGGTATTTAAGTATCACTATTTCAAAATTAAGGTTTGAAGTTTTAAATTTCAAAAATCAGGTTTTCATTAAAATTTATTTATAATTTAATTATGAAATAATAATTATTAAATTAATTTATTATTAATATTTAATTCTACTATAAAATAATTAATCCACCCCCACCTCCACCACTAATCAGGTTTTCATTAAAATTTATTCATAATTTAATTATGAAATAATAATTATTAAATTAATTTATTATTAATATTTAATTCAACTATAAAATAATTAATCTATCCCCACCTCTACCACCCCCACAATTCCGGGGATATTCCGGCGACCTTTCCGACGACTGATCCGATTCCGGCGAATATGTTAAGGTTACAGATCTATACAATTTGGTCACAATTCAAAAATTTTTAGGTCACAATTCAAAAGTTTCATAAGTCACAATTTGTTCATCGGTCACAACTTACAAATTTGAAAGTCACAATTTTTTCATCGGTCACAAATCACAAAATTTGTAAGTCACAATACTTATTTAGGTTTAAATTAACTTTCAGATTTTTTTTTTCTTTACTTTAGCCATATTGAACTAGCACGGTAGTAAAAAGTCTAGCATGTTTGAGCCCCTTTTTATTCAAAATACATTTTGAAATTGTATTTTGATTAAAAATATACGGTTAAAAAATAAGAAAAAATTTTGAATTTACATTTAATATTATTTTATTAAAAAATGTGAGGTTGAAAATAAGAGAAAAATGTATTTTAAAAATAACAAGGATAAAAAAATTAGATTTTTAACAGATTTTGATAAAAGTTGATGAAAAATTTGGTTGAAAAATTATAGATCCCATAAAATGTATGATTAAATTTTATTTTTAACTTTAACTTCAATTAAAATTTATATTTTAATCACTAGTAAACTGGGCATTAATTTTTTGGGAACAATACATAAATAAGGTATTTAATCACCATTTCAAAATTAAGGTTTGAAGTTTTAAATTTAAAAAATCAGGTTTTCATTAAAATTTATTTATAATTTAATTATGAAATAATAATTATTAAATTAATTTATTATTAATATTTAATTCAACTATAAAATAATTAATCCACCCCCACCTCTACCACCCCCACAACTCCGAGGATATTCCGGCGACCTTTCCGGCGACCGTTCCGACGACTGATCCGATTCCGGCGAATATGTTAAGGTCACAGATTTATACAATTTGGTCACAATTCAAAATTTTTTAGATCACATATCAAAAGTTTCATAAGTCATAATTTGTTCATCGATCACAACTTAAAAATTTGAAAGTCACAATTTTTTCATCGGTCACAAATCACAAAATTTGTAAGTCACAATACTTATTTAGATCACAATTTATCAATTTATTGATCACAATTAATAATATTTAGGTCACAAATTAATAATTTCATAGGTCACAAACATCAATTTATTGGTCACAAACTAATAATTTTTAGGTCACACAATTTGTATTGGTCACAGTTTATCGAATTCATTGGTCACAAACCAACCACCACCACAAATGATTTGTGACCACTTCGCCACTGCCTCCAACAGCGACACCACCACTGTCGCCGCCCAATAGCAACATCAACATCTCAAACAAATCAAACACCACACTCTCCCCTGCTACTATCACCACCCCAAAACCGCATCCATCACCAAGTCGGCAGCGACGACGATGCCACCAACACCAACACAACCGTTTCTCAACACCGCTCCAACAACAACAAAAACCACGATCTCAACACCACTCCAACAACGGCCGTCGCCTCACGCACCAACACCCAACCGCACCACTGCCACCCACACTCACCCAACAGATCTACAACCACCACAACCATTCAACAAATCAAACTCGAAAACTATTAAAAAAAAAAAAAAATAGATCGGGCGCCAACAACGCAGCGAGGGAGAGAAGACAGAGAACAGATCTGGGCGCGCGACACCACTGCTTCACCTTCACCAAGCCGGCAGCGACATCGCAGAGAGGAAAGAGAGAAGATAGAGGGACGGTGGATGGGCGGGCGGTGGGGACGGTGGAGGCGCCGTGTGGGGAGAAAATGGAGAGACGGTGAGAGAGTGACGAAAATGTCCCCGAAAGTTCCAAGATCTTGGAAACCGAGAGTGGAGAGAATGGTGGCGAAGAGAGAATGCGGCGATGGATGGAGAGACGGGGCTAATGTCGCTGTGGAAGTGGTGGAGATGAAAAGTGAGATGAGGAGGATAAAGAACAGGGCGGCGGCGCTCACCATTAGTGATGATGGTGCTGCTTGAATTGCAGTGTAATTTGGAGAATGCCGAGAGGTTTGACTTCGACAGTTATATGAGAAACCGGAAATCAAGTAGGGTTTGACTAGTATAAAATAAAATAAAAATTAGAAAAAAAGATTTTAAATTATTAATTAAAACCTGATTTTTGTAAAATGAAACTGGTATTTTAATGAAAAAAGATTCATGATTTTTGAAAATGGTATTTTAAATCCAGGTCTTGGTGTAATTTCCTCTAATTTTTTTTCACGAGCCAAAATCCCTTATTTGGCTCATTTCAGTTACACTATATCTATTTTCTGGGCTTCGTGGGCCCACTCAATTCATTCCTTGTATATTTAGTAGGTTGGGCTGACCCAATAATTTTCTCTAATGAACATGTTGAGTATGGAATTGGAGATTCATAGATGAATAACAGTGTGAAAATTCAGATATAACAATTATGAAATATTACATTAGGTAGATTGCAGAATTGCAGTAAAACGTATATTACTATAGCATGTTTGGTTAAACTTAAAAGTAAATCAAATTTACTCTTAAGTTACTTATTTAGTCGGACATGCTCTTAAACATGAATTGCTGCTCGAAACATATGTAGCAGCAAATTCGAACACCTTCAGTTTTCCTCTCCATCATCATCTTCATAATCATCACCTGCTACATCCTGATACTGCTGATACTCTGCAACAAGATCATTCATATTGCTTTCTGCTTCAGTAAACTCCATTTCATCCATTCCTTCCCCTGTATACCAGTGCAAGAATGCCTTTCTCCTGAACATTGAATTGAACTGTTCACTCACTCTCCTAAACATTTCCTGTATTGAAGTCGAATTCCCGATGAAGGTTGAAGCCATTGAGAGCCCTTTAGGTGGTATGTCACAGACACTGGATTTAACATTGTTTGGTATCCATTCCACGAAGTAGGATGAACTTTTGTTCTGAACGTTTAATATCTGTTCATCGACCTCTTTTGTGCTCATTTTGCCTCTAAACATTGCTGATGCGGTAAGATATCTGTTGAAGACAAAATTTATATAAATAAATCTGTCCACTCATTTTACGTTTTTAGGTTGAACATAGACTACATAGTATAAGTATTGTCACCACCTACTTACAAAAATTTAAGAAAATTCTGCAGGTTTCAATCCCTTTAGAAAAAAAAAGAATTTAGTTTGCACATGGTCTATGTTTTTACTTTTTAGATGGGGTGGTTCAACTTTACCGTCCGTGTCTTGGATCAGCAGCGCACATCATGTTCTTGGCGTCCCACATTTGTTGGGTCAGTTCAGGGACAGTGAGTGAACGATATTGCTGCGATCCTCGAGAGGTGAGAGGAGCAAATCCCACCATGAAGAAGTGCAGCCTGGGAAATGGGATCAAATTCACTGCTAGTTTTCTAAGGTCTGAATTTAGCTGGCCAGGAAATCTCAGACAACATGTCACTCCACTCATTGTTGATGATATCAAATGATTCAAATCCCCAACTGATCAAAACAAATCAAAAAGAAAATATTAGGCCCTGTTTGGTTTAGATAAAAATCAGACTTTTGGTAGATTTTCGCTAATTATTCGAGTTACGAGGTAGTATTGTGAACAAGAGGAGAGGCCGCCTTCAAGTATCAACAATAAGAAAAAAGAAAATGGGATGGCTTACAGCTTGGTGTCGTAAGCTTGAGGGTCCTAAAGCAAATGTCATACAAAGCTTCATTATCAAGAACCATGCATTCATCGGCATTCTCCACCAGCTGATGAACTGAAAGTGTGGCATTGTAAGGCTCCACGACCGTGTCCGATACCTTTGGAGATGGGAATACAGAGAATGTGAGCATCATTCGATCCGGGTACTCTTCCCTAATCTTTGAAATCAGAAGAGTCCCCATACCAGATCCAGTTCCACCTCCTAGAGAATGACAGACTTGGAATCCTGCATACAACGTGGAGTTCGTTATGGATAGAGACATAAGCCGTACTATCGAGAGCAATAATAACGAGAAAAGCAAGGAGAAATTGAGCAAAAAACACCAAATTATATTAGTTTGACTAAATGTGACAGCTATGTCCATTCCCTAGTACATGTTGATTCGGGGTCAGTATGATAGCAGTCCAGCAAAATTCAATTTGAAAACCCAATTCAAGAAGTACAAGACTAACAAACCTTGTAAGCAGTCACAATTCTCAGTTTCCTTCCTAACAACATCAAGAACAGAATCAATAAGCTCAGCACCCTCAGTGTAATGCCCCTTAGCCCAATTATTTCCGGCGCCAGACTGTCCAAAAACAAAGTTATCCGGCCTGAAAATCTGTCCGTAGGGACCAGTCCTAATGCTGTCCATAGTGCCCGGTTCAAGATCCATGAGAACAGCCCGGGGCACATACCGGCCGCAACTTGCTTCATTGTAATAAACGTTCACTCTCTCTAACTGGAGATCAGAATTTCCAGTGTAACTTCCTGTTGGATCAATCCCATGTTCATCACATACAACTTCCCAAAACTTTGATCCAATTTGGTTCCCACATTGCCCTCCCTGAATGTGAAGAATCTCACGCATTTTGGACTTCGTTGGGGGGCAGAGTTGGAAACTGGAGAACTTTTTAACTGTCAACTAACTTTCTTGCAGGGGTTAGAATAGGGTAGAGGAGACTATATATAGTTAATTGGGATCATCACTGATCTTCGCTTGATGAAATATAAATCAACGGTGAAATCACATTGACCAAAATCAATCAGTCGGCTGAAGATTTGTAGCTATGTCAGTTTTTCGGTGGCTGTTTATGAAAGTAGCCTGCCATTTGTAGATACTTAATCCATTAAGCCTTTGCCGTCCTAATTAGAAACTGTTTTTTATATCTATTTTTTTAATTAATTAAAGATGCACCTTGTTTATAACGTGATTGAAAATTGATAAAAGTCATGAATTGATTTTGACTCAAATTTTTATCAATTTTTTAAACTAATCCCAATAAGAACGAAGTAGATTGATCTTTTCTTCCGCCTAAATGGTTAACGTATAGCCTATAATTGGCTGACTCGACTCCACTAAGGTTACCGAAACCGTTCAATTATGAATAAATATTTTGTTCAAAATAGTGTTTTTTTTTTTTGAAATCTATGATTTTTTACTAGATAGATGTAAATATATTTTGTACTTTTGAGTTCAAGAAATTGTACATTTGGTCCTCAATGTTTAGCACCTATATCTAATCTTGCCCCATCTTCAAATTCAGAATTTCTAGATTCCCCAACCTATCGTCTTTCACAAATTTAGTCCTTTTTAACAAGTTCCTTCAAATACAAAGTTAAAAAAAATCACGTGAACCTCACATGGCATCATAAATAGTTGGCCATCGAGCTGGTCCACCTCTTATCTATCTCTAGAGCTCATTTTCGTTCTATCAAGCAAAGATATATTTCTAACCTCTCAGAAACTAATGATCCGGAGATTCAGGGTAACAATACACAGCATGCTGCATTAGATAAATTTCATGACAAAAAATTTGACCCCATATCTATAGTTCGACAATATTCTAAGTAGAAATTTGGTACGTAATATCGGAAAGTATTAATCCCCTCTTTGGCCTGCTTTTTTTAAAACTTATATTTCTTTTAGCTAAATTTTCAATTACACATTTTATAGACTCACAATTTTTATCAATTTTTTAAACACGCATTTAATCAACTTTTATCAAAATCTACTAAAAATTGACTTTTAAAAAAAAATCGAACATGGGCTAAATCGTACAAGAGACGATGTTTTAACTGATTATCTCGTATTAGTATTATTCAATACTCCACACACACACACATATATAAACAAGCTATGTACATAGAATAATAGGTATATATTTGATATGATTTCCTCATAATGGTCATGCTTTGGAGTGAGTAGCACAATAATCGGGAACACGAATTGCACGTAGACAAGATTCCAAATGGGGACAGTAATTTTGTTGGCACGTAAAGGTCTTATTCGCTCTCCTCTTGCATCATATTCATATAAAAGGACAATATGGCGTGACTCTACATTCATGTGGAGGTAATGTCATGCTTAGTTTGGTTGGGTACATATATATACATATAACATTTGTGTATATATATACATATTTTTGGAGTATTTCGAGTTAATATTTAAGTTGGAAATAAGTTGGGTATGCTATGTTCGAATATGCTTGAAGGTTACTTTTTAGAAAAAAAGTAACTTTCAATAAAAGCAAATTTTAAGCACTCTAATCCTGCTATTAATATTGAATTCCACACTTTTAGGCTCGTTTATTGAAATGCTCGGATTTACGTGCAAAATTGTTTTATAATTGGGGGAATGTGTGGTTGAAATGTATTTGGAAAAAAATGAGTTTTTTGTAGACGACGTGGCTCAAACATGCAATTAGTCTACAAAATTCAAATACAACAAAAAGTGGGTAGAAATTGACTCAATTAATTGAAGTTTAAATTAATTTAAAATTCAAATAAGCATGTAAACATCCAACTTCATAGAAATTGATAATGTACATTATGAATGAAATCATCCAAGAAACAAGGTAAGTTTAGGTTTACCGTGGATCTAAGGCTGGCAAAGAAATTTTTACAGAGACCGTACGTTCTTCTCTCTCTCACACTCACACATTAGACACACACATAGGGGAGGCAGAGGAAGGAGAGGGGCAGTTTGGATTGAGAATAAGTGTGAAAGGCACTGGACAGAAGTAGAACAATAAATGATACTGTAAAGAGGTGATGAGCCTTATGATAACCCTCATCATCGTCACGTCGTTTTTACTTCACGTATACCGATAACTCCCAGAATTCCACGCTCTCTTCTCTCCCTTTCTTTTCTTTTATTTGTCTCCCTTCCCTTTGGATGATTTTCCCCCGTTCACACCCCTCTCTCTCTCTCTCTCTATATGTGTGTGTGTGTCTGCTTCTCTCTCTAAATAGCCTACCTATACATCTATCTGCCTTGAGATGTAGCCTAGTCAACCTTATTGTCTTCCTTGCTTTGTTTCAATTTAAACCAACACCGTTTCTTCACTGTTTCCTTTTTCTTTCTGTCTCCTCCGTTCAATCTCTATCTCTCTCTCTCTACAACTCAAAATAACCTACCTAATGTTTGTTTTCATCTCAGACTAAAACGCCCCATTTCGATTTTTCATCAAGAAACTATCTCTATTTCAACAGTATTTTGGCTTCTTGAAGCTCTTCTTTCTTTGAATTTTAAAACCCTAAATCTTTCAGGTTGACGATGTGGATGATGGGATACAACGATGGAGGAGAATTTCATAGCATTCCGGATTCATTTAACGGCTGGAAATTTCGGCCCCTCGCGCCAAGACCTGCTGCAACTTCCACCACCACTATCACAAACCCTCAATGCTTCAGCCGTATGAATGGCACTGATCTGCTCTCTCTAAATCATCATATTTGTAAGTAGTCTCTCTCTCTCTCTCTCTCTCTCTATGCGTTGTATGTACGTATTAATGGCTTTTTTTGCTATTTATTTCAGCGGGTGTGATTGAGAAAAATAAGAGAGAGTTCAATATGCAGCAGGTTGTAGCGAGCTCACGCTGGAATCCTACACCAGAGCAGCTACAAACCCTCGAAGAACTGTATCGACGGGGCACTCGAACTCCTTCGGCCGAGCAAATTCAGCTCATTACTGCACAACTTCGACGATATGGCAAGATTGAAGGGAAGAATGTATTCTACTGGTTTCAGAATCATAAAGCTAGAGAGAGGCAGAAACGCCGCCGCCAGTTGGAATCTGTTTCTGATAATGAGCCACCCCGGAATAACATGGAGAATGGTGACAAGAAAGAATCTACAGGTACAAATCATTTTAAGGAAAATATTACTAAATTTTGTGCACTTAATTTTATACACGTTCTCAAGTCAAAACATAAAAAATATACACATGTAAATCCCCTCTAACGGCATAAACTTTTATACACGTAGCATCATTCTAAGCAAAGATCTTCAAAAGCTTTTAAGTTAATGGAAGATACAGAATCATCAATATTCATGCATGAGAGAAGAGAGAGAGAAAGATGAAGAGTTTTTTTTATATACATTAGCCTTTTGCAATGTGTTTGTTTGACTTGTGTTGCTTTGTTTTCGGATTCCGATTGTTTCTTAAGTTATAAAGTTACCTTCTTTTTGTTTTTTCTTTCTGTCTACAGATGCAAACAGGACAGGATATGAAGGTGAACAGATCAAAAATTGGAAATCTCTTACATACAGTAGTGCAATTGCAGAGGTCTGTTTCCTCTTTCCCATTTGTCCTTATTTGGGAAAAAACTCACCCTTTAACTTAACACAGAATTAAGAAACACCAGTCTCCCCGAAAAAGCAATTAGATTCCTCTAATTAACTAATAATTACGACATGATTACATGATCATCATGTAAGAATTAACTTTTTCATAGATAGAAGTATCAAAATCTTTGTTTTTGATTGTTGGGAAATTAAAATGTTCCAAAAGCTGCATATCTTCCTTTTTGTCGGGCAGCTATTGTTATGAAACAATGCTAGGGTTTTTGGGTGCTGTGCTTATTCATCTCATTTGGAAAATCGATATGGTAACCCATAATACTGTCTGATCTTAACTTTTGAATGACCATTAAATCCCTATACACAGTACTTCTGATGAATTATTTTTTAGGTCAAGATTGGACATTACTAGTACAGTATATGGTCAAAAGAATGTGAAAACTTATTGTGTTCTTCAATCACGTCTAGTGTTATGTTCCAATCTATCTTTAAAGTTTTTGTTAGTTCGGTACCTAATTATTGTCGATACACGGAGTCGAAAGAGGGTTAAGAGAATTTAGAAAGTGCAATTTCTCTTTAAACTTCTTTTAAACATGGTAAATTATTAAAGAAGAGTATTTAATTTCAAATTAGGGAGAATCTATGTAAATCTTATACCTTTTTTTTNATTCTCTTGTCATACATTTTTTGGCACACAAGCATTATTCAAGAAAAAACTTTTGTGTTTTTCAGTTCGATCTAAGATTACATACAAAACTAGTGTAAAAGTTTTTGCAGTGTTTTCTCATTCTGCATAGATATAATTATCAGAAAACCATTGAGTGGAGGGAAAGGGGTTATGTCAGTGGTCAATCTGTTTGGTATTGTAAAAATGAAAAAGAAAATCTAGTCTAAAGTTCTGTCTCAATACTTGCATCTAACATTCTATATTGAGAATTTTATTGTGTTTTCTCATTTTATATTTGTATTATCAGAAAACCCTTTCATCAACACAAAGGGCAGCAAAAGCAGCAGAAGCAGAATGTAAATCAGATGGATGGGTACAGTTCGATGAGGCTGCTGAATTACAACAAAGGAGGATCCTGGTAGAAAGGAATGCCACGTGGCAATTGATGCACTTGTCCTGTTCATCATCTCCTACCAACCTAATGAACCCTATTACTTGTCCATTAACAGTAACAGAAATTGATCCAAAGGTTATGAAATCTCAAGATTCTGATCTATTTATCGGAACCCGAGGCCAGGAATTCCAGACCCTTCAATTGTTTCCTCTTCAAAGCGGCCATGGCTATGGCGATAGCAATGAATGTGTAGCGGAGAATGAGACCGAGATATCGGCTGCAGCCATGAATTCTGATTTCGCTTCTTACCAGTTTTTTGAGTTCCTTCCGTTGAAGAATTAATATGCATGAAACTGAATAAAGAGTGTACCACTTGCAGTTGACTATATATATATCAATGCATTAAAACGATGGATTTGTATTTGCTTGAAACTGGAAATTTTTTGCTGATCTTGACGTAACATTTCATGAATGATGGATTCAATTGTAGAATATGGATATGAAAAGAGATTGCCTTAAAATGCTTTTAGACCATGTTGGATAAATCGATGAAATGCTAGATTATAGCAACATTCACATTGGCAGCTCTATATATGTTGATAGGAGTAGGGCTTGTTTACACAGATGTTCTCTCTCTCTCTAATATATATGCAGAGAGAGAGAGAGAGAGAGAGCTGAGTCTCCTAATGAAGGACTTGGAGTTGAGGGTTTGACAATGAATTGCTGAAATTAGATGGTGAAGTCAGTTGGATTTGCGGTTAGAATATAAAAATGTTCATTTCTGCAAACATTCCAGTCATAAATACGAAGGCAACAAAATTGACTGAAAAGGAAAACGACACCTTAGCTCAACTAGGGTTAGCATATGAAGACAACTCCTCCTCCCCTCGTTCTCGTTCTTGTCCTCGTCGTCGAAATCGTATGAAAAAATAATAATAATAAACTATCTTATGAATAATAAGTTTGTAAAAAGAATTTTGCTGGTCATAGGTGTGGTCCTGTACCACCAGCATGGTTCTTTTAAAAATATCACGTGAACAAATATGTACTTGTAATTAAAGAAAACGGGATAATATTATTTTATTATAAATTTCATTAAGACTACCGAAATTTTAATAAGTTGAAAGGATGAAAAGAATAGGAAGCTTGATTGAGGAAAGACAGAAGGGTTATGGTTAGGGTCTTTTCCATGATGGGAGGAGAAAAGCAGGTGAAAAAGAAAGTACGAGGGAAATTGTATTTTTCGTTGAAGAAATAAATTTTTTTCGTACTAAGTCGTTGTTTGATTTAATTAAAAAATTATATTTTTATTAGATTTTAATAAAAGTTGATAAAATGTGTGATTAAAAAGTTTATAAAAATTATGAATATCATGAAATATATTGTAGAAAATGAATTTTAAAAAATATACTAGTTACTAAATTTAGGATTGAAATAATTTTATATACATATTGTACATTAATTAATATGTCAGTGAAAAGCTTTGATTTCTATATATTAATTATAAGTGAAACAAAATAAAATAAAAAAGGGGTTTTCACTATACTTTCTACCTATTATAGCATTAATTTTCTTGCTCACTTCATCTCTCACCTATTATTAATTTCAGTCAGTTTCCTTCCTACGTACGTGCACTAAGGACTTCAATGAGGTTGATAAAATCGTATAACGTTTAATCTTTAGAAATTGTCTTATTCGTCTTATCGAAAAGTTTAAATTATCCCAAGGGATCAGATATATTCGTTCAAATTTTATTTTGTACACATCTGCTGTATGCATATTGTATTCAGTTTTTAGGGACGAGGATGACTAGACAAGAACTAGTCAATTTAGGGATCAAATTACAAAATTTGGAAATTTAGGGACTCATCTACATAATCTAGAAAATCTAGTGACCAAATTGCAATAACTAAAAGTTTTAGGGACTGATATTGAACATGTAGAAAAGGCGGGACTTCGTTAAAAATGAAGCAAAATATATGAACCCAACTCTAACGTCTAGATCAATCATTGAAAATGCTATGGAGGACTTAGTTAAACTTGTTAAAAGCATATCGACTAAAAAGTGCGAAGGTAAACAAGCAAACAAATAAGAGATTAGTTCAATCAATTAAGTCGTTGGGAGTCTAAGGCAAAAATATTGTTGGTGCGCCCGAGTGGAATGTAGGTGATCGTGGACTTGAAACTAGAGAGGCAAATGTACAAAAATCTAGTAGATGATTTGAACAATATGGTTTTGGATACTTTTAAAGAAGTCTCTCAAATCCACAATCTACACTGAAGGTGACGGTTGCAAGTGATGTTAGAACAGAAGAATCGTCTTTCTGCTCGAGGATAAGTGCATATGTTCGGGCGCTTTTCGATACAATCATGAAGACGAAAATGTAACTATGTACTTTTCAAATTTGGTGTATTGTTATAAAAGTAGGAAATTTGAAAGAAGTTATGAATCAGAGAGATGCTACTTGACATCAAATAACAAACTACCATGTGTATATCATGTATCACGACTACAAATAGTTTTCATTATAAATAATATTATTTATGTGTAAATAGGGTTGGGCAATAAGTACAACGAGTAAGATGTAAGTGCAGGGTGAATTAAATGAGGTAGGGCACATAACCTGCTAAAGAAAGTGACAATACCTAGACTACAAGGCAAATTTAGCAGGCAATTGCTCAAAGTATTTTTCACTCTTATGGTTTAAAGTCAGCATCTGACTTCTCGTGCTTCTACATGTATCATAAGCCCACCATACATATATAAGAAGATAAAAGAGAGACAGAATACCACAAAATTACGATTGCCATCAAAATAATAAATTGATATACATTGAACAATATATCAAGAAATTCATTGTCGTCTAAACTTATGATAATCATCACTCGTGTTTTTCGTAATAAGAGTATCTCCAATGGTGCTCTAAATTGTGACTTAAATCTTTAGAAACCTTTTCGATGTAGAGATGTAAAAGAAATGTAAAATGCATTTTTCAAAGAAAATGTAAAAAAAAAAAAAGATGTAAGTTTACATATTTTTTTAGGTCTACCTTCGGAACTACAAGAGACAAAGCTACCAACCCACTTGCTCCCAATTTTTTTAGATCTTTTCATTGGAACATAATTTGGATTTAGATTTATGAAATGTAAAAGTGATTATGGAACATAATTTGGATTTAGATTTAGAGTTGGTGTTTGCCAACGTAAAACTGTGGAAGTGAATCGGGTTGTGTGTGGTGGTTGGGTGTGATGGTAGTGTGTAATGGTGGTGTGTTGTGATATGTGGTGCTTGATCTGTAACGGTGGTGCCGTGGTGATGGTTTTTGTTGGGTTTTTGGAGTGATTGTTGTTTTTCATGTTTTGGCGTTGGGGTAATTTTTGTTGGTGGTGGTGATATTAGTGTTGTGTGTGGTGGTGGTGGTGGTGTTGTAGTTGGAGTTCATGGCAGTTGTGGGGGGTGGGGGTGGTGTTTTGGCGACGGCGGGTAGGAAGAAGAGAGTTTGTGACCACTAATTTAGGTGTTTGTAATCAACTATTTGGTTAATTTATGATCATGTATTAGTAGTAGATCGGGATCGAATGTGGGAGTGGGGTGTTTGGTGTAGGTGACCAATTATTTAGTTAATTTATGATCAACTATTTGTTTATTTTTTTTACCACAATTTAATTGTGACCTAAAAATTATATAATATATGATTGAAAAATAATTCGTAGTCAACTAATTTGAAAATCTGTGACCGACGAATAAATGGTGACCTATAACTTTTTTGATTTGTAACCATGAAATAATATGTGATCAATAAATAAGTTATGACCTATAAGTACGTAACCGTGATCATTGATTGTATAATTGTGACATTAATATATTTAATTAATAAAATTTATTTATTTATTTATTTATCACCTGAGTTTTGAATTTTGAAACATAAAATCTGAAAATTGAATTGTTCATAGTTAATACTTGAGTTGTGATTTTTTCGTAAAAAATAAAATAAAATAAAAATCTGTTATAGACCCAATATGCATTACAAGCCCCGCGGTTTACATTTAACCTATTTAGAGCTTATTTGAGTCTCATTTTATTGTAAGAATTCATTTTGAAATCGTAGATTGATGGAGAATGTGTTGATAAAAAATAAGAAATTTTTTTGGATTTGCATATAATATTATTTTATTAAAAAATGTGTGATTTGGAAAGAATATTGAAAAATGTATTTTGAAAATCACAGGATCAAAGAATGACTTAATCATCAAAACTTTACCCGTATTGCTTAAACATGTATTATTTGACAACACTACTCACTCTATCATTATCGGCTATCTTCACTACTCCAATTTCCAAAGGTAACTTTGGTGAAAAGGAGTGTATTAAAGTAAATTAATGAAACGTTTAAGGTGCGATTGGTTTGTTGTTTCCAATTTTACAAAACATCCAAAATTTGTTTCGTTTGAGATTTTCAAAAATGCATTTTCAAAAACAAAATTAAACTTATAAAATAAAACTCAAAACATATTTTTGACATTTTGATATTTTCAATGAAAACTCTGAAAAAAATTCAAAACACGGGAAATAAGCGTTTGAATGAAATTATATTTACCTTGTAGACTGTAGATTCTATAGTTGAGAAAATCAAATCGATTGGGCCACCAACAATCCTATGGAGATCAAAGAAAAGTAGAACAAAAAAGGACCGTAAAAGATTTTAAGAAGACACCGGTGTGGTGTAGGCCAAAGATCATCCGATGGTCATATCAGTAAAGCTTGTCGAGAATTATATGAATGTTAGATGGAAAGTAAGAAGAAATGATTCAGAATAGAGTAGATTGGATACTTGAATGTTTGACTGACCATAAAATTTATAGGAGTAAGATAACTGTCTAGACGAGATTGGTGATGATTCTTCGAGATTTTCTGGTTGCTTGGAGTAGAATGTGTTTGGATTTATATGGTTGAGATATCAAGATTGTTTATAGATAACTCATGTATGATTTAGTCAAGTGATAATGTAATTTATCTTAAAGATAAATTATTGAAAGTTTTGAATTGATCGGTGGGTATTGGATCATGATTTGGGTCGGTTGGTATAGTTTGCTGGATCAAACATCATATGTTTGTTAAGTGGGCCTCTCGTGGCGTTATATGACTTGAATTGCTTGGGCTATTAGAATAATTTTTTACCACTACATACCTAAAAAAAAAAATCAAAAATTCTCTAGAATTTTTCTCTAAAATTCTAGAAAAGAACAAAAATTATAAGAAATGAAAAGTAAAAATACTCCAAGATCTTAATAGTTATTTAAATGAACATGGATTCATGTCATTAATTTTTATTTTTTCATTT